CAAATACGGCCACATCACCTGTTGCTCAAACACGGCCACATCACCTGTTGCTCAAGCATGGCCACATCGCCTGTTGCTCAAACACGGCCACATCGCCTGTTGCTCAAACACGGCCACATCGCCTGTTGCTCAAACACGGCCACATCGCCTGTTGCTCAAACACGGCCACATCACCTGTTGCTCAAACACGGCCACATCACCTGTTGCTCAAACACGGCCACATCACCTGTTGCTCAAACACGGCCACATCACCTGTTGCTCAAACACGGCCACATCACCTGTTGCTCAAACACGGCCACATCACCTGTTGCTCAAACACGGCCACATCACCTGTTGCTCAAACACGGCCACATCACCTGTTGCTCAAACACGGCCACATCACCTGTTGCTCAAACACGGCCACATCACCTGTTGCTCAAACACGGCCACATCACCTGTTGCTCAAACACGGCCACATCGCCTGTTGCTCAAACACGGCCACATCGCCTGTTGCTCAAACACGGCCACATCGCCTGTTGCTCAAACACGGCCACATCACCTGTTGCTCAAACACGGCCACATCACCTGTTGCTCAAACACGGCCACATCACCTGTTGCTCAAGCAGGGCCACATCGCCTGTTGCTCAAACACGGCCACATCGCCTGTTGCTCAAACACGGCCACATCGCCTGTTGCTCAAACACGGCCACATCGCCTGTTGCTCAAACACGGCCACATCACCTGTTGCTCAAACACGGCCACATCACCTGTTGCTCAAACACGGCCACATCGCCTGTTGCTCAAACACGGCCACATCACCTGTTGCTCAAACATGGCCACATCGCCTGTTGCTCAAACTCGGCCATATCACCTGTTGCTCAAACACGGCCACATCGCCTGTTGCTCAAACACGGCCACATCGCCTGTTGCTCAAACACGGCCACATCGCCTGTTGCTCAAACATGGCCACATCGCCTGTTGCTCAAACACGGCCACATCACCTGTTGCTCAAACACGGCCACATCACCTGTTGCTCAAACACGGCCACATCACCTGTTGCTCAAACACGGCCACATCACCTGTTGCTCAAACACGGCCACATCACCTGTTGCTCAAACACGGCCACATCACCTGTTGCTCAAACACGGCCACATCACCTGTTGCTCAAACACGGCCACATCACCTGTTGCTCAAACACGGCCACATCACCTGTTGCTCAAACACGGCCACATCACCTGTTGCTCAAACACGGCCACATCACCTGTTGCTCAAGCATGGCCACATCGCCTGTTGCTCAAACACGGCCACATCGCCTGTTGCTCAAACACGGCCACATCGCCTGTTGCTCAAACACGGCCACATCGCCTGTTGCTCAAATACGGCCACATCACCTGTTGCTCAAACACGGCCACATCACCTGTTGCTCAAGCATGGCCACATCGCCTGTTGCTCAAGCATGGCCACATCGCCTGTTGCTCAAACACGGCCACATCGCCTGTTGCTCAAACACGGCCACATCGCGTGTTGCTCAAACACGGCCACATCGCCTGTTGCTCAAACACGGCCACATCCCTGTTGCTCAAACACCCCATCCCTGTTGCTCAAACACGGCCACATCACCTGTTGCTCAAACACGGCCACATCACCTGTTGCTCAAACACGGCCACATCACCTGTTGCTCAAACACGGCCACATCACCTGTTGCTCAAACACGGCCACATCACCTGTTGCTCAAACACGGCCACATCACCTGTTGCTCAAACACGGCCACATCACCTGTTGCTCAAACACGGCCACATCACCTGTTGCTCAAACACGGCCACATCACCTGTTGCTCAAACACGGCCACATCGCCTGTTGCTCAAACACGGCCACATCGCCTGTTGCTCAAACACGGCCACATCGCCTGTTGCTCAAACACGGCCACATCGCCTGTTGCTCAAACACGGCCACATCACCTGTTGCTCAAACACGGCCACATCACCTGTTGCTCAAACACGGCCACATCGCCTGTTGCTCAAACACGGCCACATCACCTGTTGCTCAAACACGGCCACATCGCCTGTTGCTCAAACACGGCCACATCACCTGTTGCTCAAACACGGCCACATCGCCTGTTGCTCAAACACGGCCACATCGCCTGTTGCTCAAACACGGCCACATCGCCTGTTGCTCAAACACGGCCACATCGCCTGTTGCTCAAACACGGCCACATCACCTGTTGCTCAAACACGGCCACATCACCTGTTGCTCAAACAGGGCCACATCACCTGTTGCTCAAACACGGCCACATCACCTGTTGCTCAAACACGGCCACATCACCTGTTGCTCAAACACGGCCACATCGCCTGTTGCTCAAACACGGCCACATCACCTGTTGCTCAAACACGGCCACATCGCCTGTTGCTCAAACACGGCCACATCACCTGTTGCTCAAACACGGCCACATCACCTGTTGCTCAAACACGGCCACATCACCTGTTGCTCAAACATGGCCACATCGCCTGTTGCTCAAACACGGCCACATCGCCTGTTGCTCAAACACGGCCACATCGCCTGTTGCTCAAACACGGCCACATCACCTGTTGCTCAAACACGGCCACATCACCTGTTGCTCAAACACGGCCACATCACCTGTTGCTCAAACACGGCCACATCCCTGTTGCTCAACAGGCCACATCGCCTGTTGCTCAAACACGGCCACATCGCCTGTTGCTCAAACACGGCCACATCGCCTGTTGCTCAAACACGGCCACATCGCCTGTTGCTCAAACACGGCCACATCACCTGTTGCTCAAACACGGCCACATCACCTGTTGCTCAAACACGGCCACATCGCCTGTTGCTCAAACACGGCCACATCACCTGTTGCTCAAACACGGCCACATCGCCTGTTGCTCAAACTCGGCCATATCACCTGTTGCTCAAACACGGCCACATCGCCTGTTGCTCAAACACGGCCACATCGCCTGTTGCTCAAACACGGCCACATCGCCTGTTGCTCAAACACGGCCACATCGCCTGTTGCTCAAACACGGCCACATCACCTGTTGCTCAAACACGGCCACATCACCTGTTGCTCAAACAGGGCCACATCACCTGTTGCTCAAACACGGCCACATCACCTGTTGCTCAAACACGGCCACATCACCTGTTGCTCAAACACGGCCACATCACCTGTTGCTCAAACACGGCCACATCACCTGTTGCTCAAACACGGCCACATCACCTGTTGCTCAAACACGGCCACATCACCTGTTGCTCAAACACGGCCACATCACCTGTTGCTCAAGCATGGCCACATCGCCTGTTGCTCAAACACGGCCACATCGCCTGTTGCTCAAACACGGCCACATCGCCTGTTGCTCAAACACGGCCACATCGCCTGTTGCTCAAACACGGCCACATCACCTGTTGCTCAAATACGGCCACATCACCTGTTGCTCAAACACGGCCACATCACCTGTTGCTCAAGCATGGCCACATCGCCTGTTGCTCAAACACGGCCACATCGCCTGTTGCTCAAACACGGCCACATCGCCTGTTGCTCAAACACGGCCACATCGCCTGTTGCTCAAACACGGCCACATCACCTGTTGCTCAAACACGGCCACATCACCTGTTGCTCAAACAGGGCCACATCACCTGTTGCTCAAACACGGCCACATCACCTGTTGCTCAAACACGGCCACATCACCTGTTGCTCAAACACGGCCACATCACCTGTTGCTCAAACACGGCCACATCACCTGTTGCTCAAACACGGCCACATCACCTGTTGCTCAAACACGGCCACATCACCTGTTGCTCAAACACGGCCACATCACCTGTTGCTCAAACACGGCCACATCACCTGTTGCTCAAACACGGCCACATCGCCTGTTGCTCAAACACGGCCACATCGCCTGTTGCTCAAACACGGCCACATCGCCTGTTGCTCAAACACGGCCACATCACCTGTTGCTCAAACACGGCCACATCACCTGTTGCTCAAACACGGCCACATCACCTGTTGCTCAAGCAGGGCCACATCGCCTGTTGCTCAAACACGGCCACATCGCCTGTTGCTCAAACACGGCCACATCGCCTGTTGCTCAAACACGGCCACATCGCCTGTTGCTCAAACACGGCCACATCACCTGTTGCTCAAACACGGCCACATCACCTGTTGCTCAAACACGGCCACATCGCCTGTTGCTCAAACACGGCCACATCACCTGTTGCTCAAACATGGCCACATCGCCTGTTGCTCAAACTCGGCCATATCACCTGTTGCTCAAACACGGCCACATCGCCTGTTGCTCAAACACGGCCACATCGCCTGTTGCTCAAACACGGCCACATCGCCTGTTGCTCAAACACGGCCACATCGCCTGTTGCTCAAACACGGCCACATCACCTGTTGCTCAAATACGGCCACATCACCTGTTGCTCAAACACGGCCACATCACCTGTTGCTCAAGCATGGCCACATCGCCTGTTGCTCAAACACGGCCACATCGCCTGTTGCTCAAACACGGCCACATCGCCTGTTGCTCAAACACGGCCACATCGCCTGTTGCTCAAACACGGCCACATCACCTGTTGCTCAAACACGGCCACATCACCTGTTGCTCAAACAGGGCCACATCACCTGTTGCTCAAACACGGCCACATCACCTGTTGCTCAAACACGGCCACATCACCTGTTGCTCAAATACGGCCACATCATCTGTTGCTCAAACACAGCCACATCGGGCGACCGCTCGAGTCAGGTGTGTGGAGGAGCCCTCGTTCCTCTTCCCGCCAGCATTCTGTTTCTCTCCCGTCTTCGTGCCTTTGTTCCCCCATCGCACCATCTCTCCATCCCCCTCCACCTGTCCCACCGGCTCCTGACCACCACACTACACTGATTCACTAGTGTGTAAGGAGCCCTCGTGGGAGCCCTCGTGGGAGCCCTCGTGGGAGCCCTCGTGGGGGAGCCTTGTTGCAGTCCATGATTCCCCTTGCCCCCATTCCCCCCTCCCCATGCCACATGCCAGGCCGTTACACGAGTGTGTGGAGGGGCCCTCGTCGCTGCCCGCCCCCATTCACCTGCACAGCATGGCGTCCGTCATTGGCAGCTGGGAGGAGATTCGTGCGCGGTGAGGAAAGCAGCGTCTGGTAAGAGTAGGTGGAAAATGCGTGGGCCGGCTGTACGAGGGCATGCTCTGTCGCGCAAGACAAGAGCATGCTCTGTTGTGCAAGAGCATGCTTAGGTGTGCGAAGGCATTCTAGGGTGTGCTAGCGCATGCTTAAAGTGCGCATTTTTCCTTGTATGGTTGTGCAGGGAGTTTGAGTCCAACTGGTACATGTCAAGTCTAGAGACCTTCGTCATGAAGGTTCCCAAAATGTCGAGGAAGTGCAATTTAAGTCGCAGAAGCTGAACAAGAGGTGAATGGAGAGCTTGATTGAAGTGTAAACGACCGATACGAACGCGCGTTCATGTATTGTATTGAGCAGTTGGCAAATGTGTGGAGTTTTCTAGATTACTTATGAGATTGTGAGGAACACCTGCAACGCTGTCACATGCTTTCATGACAACGGTTTCTAGAATCGGCAAGTCTCAGCCGTACTGGAAGTATTCGTTAATCGGCAAGTATCAGCTCCTTACTGTACAAAATGCCAAAAGGTACAGCTGGAAGTTCGACCAGGTCATTGCACGCTGCTCAATAGCATGCCTGGCATCACTCTGACATGTCTTGCAAGCTTCTGACTTGTGAGAATCGTTTAATTGTTTCAATTGTTTAGTTGCTTCAGGTGGTTCCTGCAACGTCCTAGAGCCAGCCTGTCTTATGATGCTCACATGCCTCTCCAATCCATTTCATATGCAGGCTGAGCTTTGAGACGCTGCCCGAGGGGAAGGGGCAGCCGCTGTCGGAGAGCCATCTGCTGGCGCCTCTACCCCGACCAGCCGTATGATGCCCACATCCCTCCCCCTACTACTCATTTCATGCAGGCTGAGCCTTGAGAAGCTGCCCGAGGGGAAGGGGCAGCTGCTGTCAGAGAGCCACCTGCTGGCGCCTCTACCGCGGCCTGCCGGCGCTATCATGTGCATTGGGAAGAACTACGAGGAACATGTGAAGGAGGTGGACACGTGGAAGACTGCTCCCCACATCACACAGCCCAGCATCCCCACTGTGAGTGAGTTAAGCACCAGCAGTAGGATTAGCGATAGTAGCAGCATCACCGGCACTATTATCACCATGATGTGCATTGGGAAGAAGTACAAGGAGCATGTGAGGGAGGTGGACTGTTGGCATATGGAAGACTGCTCCCCACATCACACAGCCCAGCATCCCCACTGTAAGTTTAGCACCTTCACTAGGAACAGCAGCATCAGCAGCATCAGCTCTATTTTCGCCATGATGTGCATTGGGACGAAGAACTACGAGGAACATGTGAAAGAGGTGAACACGTGGAAGACTGCTCCCCACATCACACAACCCAGCATCCCCACTGTGAGTTATGCTGCGGCAGCAGCACCACCGTCATGGACGTTGCCCCCATCATGATGCCGCTGCTGCGAGCAACACCCCAGGACCCAGACTGTGTTGCGCACGCAACCCCACAAGAGCACGGGCACAGGCACAACAGGTTGGCCACTGCCTCGGCCAAACATTCTTGTCAGCTGGATCACAAATCGCGCTCAAAGGTGAGACAACACTTGTGCTATTCGTCGTGCTCGTCTCATTCCTCTCTCCCTCCCACTCTTCCCCCACCCCCCCAACCCCACCCCCCCCTCCCTCCCTCCTTTCGCCCTGTTCCCAGCACCCCATTGTGTTCACCAAGGCTCCCCAGTCGGCGACAGGCCCCGGCACGGCCATCCGCATTCCCCATGGCCACTCACAGGCCATTGACTATGAGGCAGGTGGGTGGGCGTGTTAGGCAGGTGGGCGGCACAAGGCAGGTGGGTACTGTTAGACAGATCGGGGCAGGTAATTTGTGAGTTGCCTCAGGAGGCACGTCCATCCGCATTTCACACGGGCAGTGCTATGCATGGTTGTGCCATCTCGCCATCACATTCCCCATCCCGCCATCCGATCTTGTTTGCTCATGCCATCCATATCGCTTGTCCACAGAGCTGGCAGTCATCATAGGCAGAGCAGGGCGAGGCATCAGAGCATATGGCTCATCATCCCTCATGTCATCCACGTGTCCCCTGCACAGAGCTGGCAGTCATCATAGGACGACCAGGGCGAGGCATCAAGCCTGAAGATGCCATGGACCATGTGTTCGGGTAAGACCCGCTCGCTCTTTTGAGACGTCTCAAAACTTGATTATCGTCACGCAGATGCCATGGACCACATCTTTGAGTAAGACTTGTTTCTTCTTGTCACATTCTTGTTTCTTCGTGCTCCTCATCCGCGTGTCTCTTCGTAGACGACCATCTCTCGCCTTAGACTGCAGAAGCTCTGCACAGTGACTCTGACGAGACGGCTAACAGCTATTCAAAAGCCCCACAAGTGCAATGCAGTCTCCATACTCCATGCACCTTGTATGGCGTATGGAGTATGGAGTGTGGAGTATGGAGTGTGGAGTGTTGAGTGTGGAGTATGGATTATGGGGTATGGGGTATGGGGTGTGGGGTATGGGGTGTGGGGTATGGGGTATGGGGTACGGGGTACGGGGTACGGGGTACGGGGTACGGGTACGGGTACGGGGTACGGGGTACGGGGTACGGGGTACGGGTACGGGTATGGGGTACGGGGTACGGGTACGGGGTACGGGGTATGGAGAAGGCATTGCAATTGTCGATCTCCTCAAGCCTCTGTTACTGGTCCACAAGTGCAAGGCCTTGTTACCTCGCCTGTGGGATCTACAGCTGGGATGGCAACAAGGCAACGAGGAAAGCTTGTTTTTTATTTCCTTGTGAATACACCAGCTCGAACCGAACTGAGCTGTAACTAGGGTTGCTGCGACTGAACATGCAAGAATAACGAGAACTGATTCCGTTAAACCCGTCCTTCAATTGCAAGCCTCAGTTGCATGTTTCAAGCTAGAGGCATAAAAACTCCCTTTTGTCCCGGTCCTCCTTCCCCCTTCCCTTCACTTCCACTTCTTACCCACCCCCCCAATCCTCCTCCCCCCCCTTGCTCTCACCTGGCCCTCTGTTCTGTGTGTCAGATGCTCCATTCTCAACGACGTGACGACCTATGCTCTTTCTTGCTCTTCTCTTCCCCCCTTCCACACCCCTGCCCACTCCCTCACTTTCTCCCTTGCAGCTACACCATTCTCAACGACGTGACGGCCAGAGATGTGCAGAAGCGCCACCAGCAGGTCCCCTCTCTCCCTGGCCCACTCTCTCCCTCTCTTCTCCCATCATGCCTCCCTCTGCTGCGCTTGTGTAATGTGCCCCCCTTTGGACGCCCCTGAAAGGCTCTGATGGATGCAAGGTCTCTCCCTCCATCGGTCATGTTCACTTTCCCATTTTTACCCATATTCGTTTCCTGCCACACCATGCCATGCCACCCATGCTGCATCCCATCCCATCCCATACCATCCCATGCCATGCCATCCCATGCCATGCCATGCCATGCCATGCCATGCCACTGCGACATGTTTTCCCCTTCACGCATGCCAGTGGTTCCTCGGAAAGAGCTGCGACACATTCTGCCCCATGGGCCCTTGGATTGTGCTGGCATCTGAGATCAACGGCCAGGATCTTCACATTCGCTGCTGGATAAACGGCGAGCTTCGGCAGGTGAATTCAAATGTCCTGATGCCGCCAATCAACGTAACAAAGAAAAGAACATTCGCATTATTTCTTTCTGCGCCATTCGATTTATTTCCACACTGCCTTTCTCTTTGTTTCCTTGTCTCTCTCTATTCGTATCCCCTCCAGTCGTTCCTTTTGCATGCGTTTTTAATAACCCGTCCCACCATAACACCGACCTTCCCATCTCACCTCCCCAGCCCTCACCTCCCCACCCCTCACCTCCCCAGCCCTCACCTCCCCAACCCTCACCTCCCCACCCTCACCTCCCCAACCCTCACCTCCCCAGCCCTCACCTCCCCACCCCTCACCTCCCCAGCCCTCACCTCCCCACCCCTCACCTCCCCACCCCTCACCTCCCCAGCCCTCACCTCCTCACCCCTCACCTCCCCAGCCCTCATCTCCCCAGCCCTCACCTCCCCAGCCCTCACCTCCCCATCCCTCACCTCCCCACCCCTCACCTCCCCACCCCTCACCTCCCCACCCCTCACCTCCCCACCCTCACCTCCCCAGCCCTCACCTCCCCAACCCTCACCTCCCCACCCTCACCTCCCCAACCCTCACCTCCCCACCCTCACCTCCCCAACCCTCACCTCCCCAGCCCTCACCTCCCGACCCCTCACCTCCCCAGCCCTCACCTCCCCACCCCTCACCTCCCCACCCCTCACCTCCCCAGCCCTCACCTCCCCACCCCTCACCTCCCCAGCCCTCATCTCCCCAGCCCTCACCTCCCCAACCCTCACCTCCCCACCCCTCACCTCCCCACCCCTCACCTCCCCAGCCCTCACCTCCCCACCCCTCACCTCCCCACCCCTCACCTCCCCAGCCCTAACCTCCCCACCCCTCACCTCCCCACCCCTCACCTCCCCAGCCCTCACCTCCCCACCCCTCACCTCCCCACCCCTCACCTCCCCAGCCCTCACCTCCCCACCCCTCACCTCCCCACCCGTCACTTCCCCAGCCATCCCCCTTCTCCTGTCTTCCTCCCTTTCCCCTCTCCCCCCCTCCCCCACACCACGCAGAACTCCCGCACTTCACAGCTCATCTTCCCCATCCCAACTCTAATCGCCACCATCTCAGCCGGCATCACCCTGCAGCCAGGCGACATCATCGCCACCGGCACCCCTGCTGGTACGGAAAGCAGTGTTCACCGATTGCGGTATGTGAAGAGGATTCGCCCGCTGTTTTGACGTGCCTCATAACGCCACCCTGGCTGCCACCATCTCATCTGGCATCACCCTGCAAGCAGGGGGCATCATCGCCACCGGCACCCTCGCTGGTATGTGAAGCACGAGGCGTCCCTTTTCTACGGGGTCTTGCAATGACACCCTCGTCGCCACCATCTCAGCTGGCATCACTCTGCAGTATCCAGGCGACATCATCGCCACTGGCACCGCCCGCAAACATGTAGACAAGTAGAGCAGGTCATCTCTTCCAGTTTAACATACCCCCATTCCAAGGTTCTTCAACATTCAACTCTTATCGCCACCATCTCAGCGGGCATTGCCCTGGTTACGTAACACCGACATGATTCGCTCTGGATGGTTCTTCTCTGCATCCCTGTTCTCTCCCCCATTGCTTCCCATCTCACCAGGCGTGGGCTCTGGCTTTGACCCGCCAAGGCATCTCACGGAAGGGGACTCGGTGCGCATTCAGATCGAGAATGTGGGGGAGCTGATAAACCGCGTGGAGTGACCATTCACCAACCAGTGCAGATTCGTTTGGAATGTACTGCATCTGTGCTTGCACAAACCGAAAGCTTGCGTTGCTTAGTGTCAGCAACAAGGCTGTATCATGTTATGAGGGTCAAGTGCCTCAGATTTCAGGCAAATTTCCCTGATTCAGGGTTTTTTCAGAGGTTTTGTCGGTACCAACCCTCATGTGCTAGGATCTTTTCTTCCCTTAACCTTGATAAATCAGAGTTTTTTTATAACTGAACTCTGTTTGACCAGCGTAACAACGGTAGTGGGCCCTGACTGTTACAGCCTAGAAACGGGGACCTGCCCTGTTTCCAGTAATAGGCCCCCACCCTCCCCCCCCCGCCCCACCCCCCCTCCCTGTCAACTTACACATATGCTGTATGTAGAAGTTATAGGCTAGACTAGGTGTGTGCTTCTAGTGAGTACAACCCCAACAGGTATATGTTCTAGGTTTCTCACACCAGTCAATCATTCTCTCATCCTAACATGGTATCACGAGTAGGTTAGGTCCACCCACCCGCTTCCGCCCACGCCCTAGCCTCTCGCCCCCCCCCTAGCCCTAGCGCCCGCCCGGTCCGTGGAGCCCGCCCGGCCCGTCCGCCCGGCCCTGGCCCCTCCGTGCCCGCCTGGCCCCTCCGCGCTCGCATGGCCCCTAAGCGCCCGGCCTGGCTCCTAGCGCCCGCCTGGTCCCGTCGCGCTCGCCTGACCCCGTCGCACCCGCGTGGCCCCGTCGCGCCCGCCTGGCCCCGTCGCACCCGCCTGGCCTCGTCGCGCTCGCCTGGCCCCTCCGCGCCACCCTGGCCCCTAGCGCCCGCCCGGCCCGTTGCGCCCGCCCGTCCCTCAGCGCCTGCCCGACCCCTCCTAGCACCCGCCCGGCCCCTCCTAGCGCCTGCCCGGCCCCTCCTAGCGCCCGCCCGGCCGGTTGCGCCCGCCCGTCCCACAGCGCCCGCCCGGCCCCTCCTCGCGCCTGCCCGGCCCCTCCTAGCGCCCGCCTGGCCCCTCCTAGCACCTGCCTGGCCCCTCCTAGGACCCGCTCGGCCCCTCCTAGTGCCAGCCCGGCCCCGATACGCCCGCTTGGCTCCTGCGGCCCCGTGTCCTCTGCTTGCCCACGCTGGAGCGCCTTGCAGCCATCTTCCTGGAGCTGTGCTGCTGTGTCCCTGTGCCGCTGTGTCCCTGTGCCGCTGTGTCCTGTGGAGCTATGCCGCTGTGTCCCTGTGTCGCTGACCCTGCACGATGGCTGACTTCATACTCCGCCTGGACGCTGAGGGTCACGCGGTTGACTTCGCCGCCTGGCTGTCCGATCTCCGCCGTCAGCTCACAGGTCAGCGCCAGGATGGGCACTCCTTGGTTGTCCATACTGATGGCTTGTTCCCCCGCCCCCCTGCGCCTGCTCCCCTCCCTGCTGACCCCACCTCTGCTGAGCGTGAGGCTTTCTCTGCTGCTGCACTTGCCTGTGCCGTCTAGGACTCTCGCGATGCCGTTGCCCAGGTCGCTATCAATCACGCCCTCCCTGTGTCTGAGCGTTCGCGGTTCGCTACAGTTGATACTGCCAGGGCTTACTTAGATGATGTTGTTGCTCGCTATTCCACGCCTGCCTCCGCTACTGCAGGCCGCCTGCTCTTCCCTATGCTTTTCCCAGACCTTGCTTCCTTCCCTACTGTTGCTGACCTTGCCACTCACCTGCGAGCCCTAAAGTCTCGCTACCGCACTGCTAGCACTGCTGCCCAGCTCACTGCGCTCCCCCCCCCCTTCTGCATGACCCTCTACTTTATCGCTATGCGCCTGCTTGACCCTGCGCGAGCTACAGCAGCGTCGCCATGCCCGTATACTTCACTTAGCCTCAGGTGCCAACACAGCTGATATCTTTACGAAGGCGCTTGCGCCTAAAGATCATCAGCGGCACTGTGTACAGCTTGGTCTTGTTCCTGTAGCTTCTCACTTGTTAGGACCCTGATTGTGTACTCTCTACTATATATACTGTACCTGTCTGACTGGCCTTGTGGCCTTACCTCCAAAGGCTGGACTAGTAGTGCCGCCCTGGCTTGCTTTAGTTTTGTTTGTACTCTTGCTGAATGGTCTCCAGGGCTCTAGTAGTGCCACCCTGAGCTGTGTGCTTCTTGCTTAGCACCACCCCTTCTCTAGCCTAGGGGGTGTGTCAACTTATACATATGCTGTATGTAGAAGTTATAGGCTAGACTAGGTGTATGCTTATAGTGAGTACAACCCCAACAGGTATATGTTCTAGGTTTCTCACACTAGTCAATCATTCTCTCATTCTAACACTCCCCCCCCCCCCCCCCCCGAGATTCCCGTGAGTTCCCCGTCAGTTACGCCGAGCCGACCAGTCTCCCACCCAAATCTGCGTCGTAGTGGCGAGTTTTCCGCGAGCACATAATGTGCTGCGGCTAAGGGATTGGGCGACGAGTGTTTGACAGCATGTGCTGTCGCCAGCATAAAGCATGACTGCGTGATGTGGTTGGACACCAAGAAATCACAAGTATAGCAACCAATGGAGAACTGGCAACTTACAACGGCCTTGCATTTCGCTGCCACACTGACGTCACTGTCGGTGTGTGCACTGTAGTGATATGATTCATATTCAACACTTCTGTAAGTCGATTATCGATAGATCGTGTCGAATTCTACTATAGAAGATAAGTCCGTAGGATGACGTCAGCAAATAGCGCTCGTCATGAGGACAGTCGTTTCAGTCACGCGATCAGTCGCGTCTCTTCAGTGTCATTTAGGGCGCATAGCGCGATAGTGTCAACAGGTACATTAGCGAACAGGTACTTCTGTTATATGTAAAAGTAGCATGTCTTCATTGTTTAGTTAACGTGGTTCTGGACTTGATTGTGAACTTGTTCTTAATTTGTTCTTCAGTAAATTCTGGTCATTACTCTACAAGTTCTAAGAATTTCGCTGTCTTACTAGTCTACCATTCCCGTAAAGATCCTAGGCTAACACTTGAGGTTTTCCAAGTGTTCATGTTTGCAGATTCTATACTTAGTCTCATGCAACACCTGTAAAATTATTTCATGGTATGAGAGCTGTCTGGAATTAAGACTAGTGTCAACAATGACTGGATCAACACCAGCACAATCTACCGGATCTAGTTCCGGAACTACTGGAGTACCTGTCTCCTCGACTGCCACTGGTCTCTTAGCCTCTGGACCGTTTCCACCGGCTTATGCGCACATCGGTATGCAGCAGCAGCAGCAAAATCCTTCTTCTGCTAGTACTCCAGGGATTTCATTAACTGCCCCTGCAGCGCAACAACAGCTAACACAGGCAACAGCACAACAACAGGCAACAACACAGCCGTTTTCAACTCAGTCAATATCATCAGCGCTTAGTGGAATGAGCCTTGACGGCTCAAGTTATATGCGTGGAGCTCCAGCTCCAAGTACTAGCTCATTTGCATTCTCACCTTTTACGCAGCAGCCGCAGTCTCAGCAGCAGCAGCCCTTTTACATCTTCGGGCGTTCACCTGCTCAGCAACAACAACAGCAACAGCAACAGCAACATCAGCAACAACAGCAACAGCAGCTACATCCACATCAATTTCAACAACAGCAACAACCTCAACAACGGGGTATTGCTTTTCAGCCGCCAAATTTACTTAACAGCACACAGATCAAGACCGCTATACCTTTTAACGGAGTTGATTTTTGCTCCTGGAGTTTTGAGTTTGAGCTTCTGGCGCAGTCTGCCGGGCTATGGCCGTTCTTCACCGGCGAGTTCACATATCCTGTTATGGGAACACAACTGGAGCAGCAGAGTTTCTTGCACGCCTCTCTCAGGGCGTATACGGTTCTCGTTCGAAACTTATCGGCAAAGGAGCAGCTCGGCGTTCGATATTTTCATTCCAGCTTTACGCCAGCTGAAACTGCATGGAACCACTTAAAGGGGGTGTACATGGCAACGGATACAATCACAGTGAGTAAGATTCTTTCGCAGCTGACAAATGTGCAAATGATGACCAACGAGAATGTCATGGATTATGTCAATCGTGTCCGCACACTACGAGATCAATTGGAGAAGAGTGGTGGAAACTTCCCTCGTGAGATGTATCTCACAGTCCTTCTTGCTGGACTTGGTCCCGAGTGGCGACAGACGCGCGCATTCTTGCGCATGAACCCGAACCTCTCCGAAGCCGAGATTTCCTCATATCTTCAAGCAGAACAGCAAGATCTTGACCTGCAGTCACAACGCAATCAGAAAAAGGGGATACACTTAAGTTTTGCTGCCACACTGACGTCACTGTCGGTGTGTGCACAGCATCTTGCCTGCCAGCGCTGCGTTTACGAGTGGATTCCTTGTGAACCTTGCCCAGCATGCAGGCAAGGTCACCGTGCCGCGCCCCGATCCATTCCCACAAGCTACCCCCATCTGGTTCATCTTCATCTTCAACTGTTGTTATACTTGCCTTTTTTTGTAGGTTTTTCGTTCCTTGAGTAGCCATTCCCTTTTCAATTGGTAGCTCCTCTAAAGCTGTGTCTCACCCTGTCATGGGAGAGCCAATCGATGGGGAACTGGCCGATGGTGATGCAGATGATGGCCAGCGTGCGGACCTCACCACTGGACTGGACCTGTTGCTCTCAACTTTATCTAGCCTTATGCGCATGCCTCTTAGAGGAACCGCACGTCTCGGCTAGGAAGAACCAGACAAAAAAATCGCCGATCATTCCGTATCCACTGCAGTCATAGAGCATGTCCCTAATCCTAAGCCCGGTCCCTCCACACTTGCTCCTGCCGAGCATCTGTCGCCCACTGCTGGACCTGCTAAGCGCCCTGGGCGCTACCGTCAAGCTGTTCTCCTATTCGTGCGGCCCAAACAGGCTAGCAAAGTGTCTCCACCCTCCAACCCTGCTTCCGATGATACTGAGTCAGAGGACGACACGCCGACGACTACAAAGAAGGCGAGAACCTCGACTGAGCAGTACGCGGAGGTGCTCTGTAAATACAAGAAAATTTTGAGCGACGCTTTTCCTTGGCTTTTGCTTGTCAAGACTGAAGAAGGCCTCCCGGCCTTCAAGTGTCAGTTGTGTATGGACCATGCAGGTCTCTCAGGGAAGAGCGGACGACGTGGCCCTGGTCTCTCGGACGCCCAGACACAAGCCTTCACCAGACACGCCGGCACTGGGAAGCATCGTCTCGCTTACGGGAAGCAGGCTGCTCTGTTGCAGGAGGTGACGACGCAGACGAGGATCGACCAGAATCCCCGTGCCGCTGAT